TGTGTTTTCTCTAAAAAGAAATTACAGAGATGAAGTTTAATATTTGTTTTAACTAATGTTAACTTCACTTTTATAAATATACATTTGTTTTATTAATTCCAATCAAAAATATTTACTAAGAACTTCTTTCCTATTTAAATAATAAAACAAAGAGATTAATTTATGACCAAGTGTCATAATCATGATATAAATGATGAAAAGATTGATTGTAAAACAAACTAATTAGTGTTTTATTACAATGGTCAATTTTCTGTTATTTAATCATGACAAGGTATTCATTAATGTTTTGACAACAATAAAACACTTTTAATTTACAGTAATGCTTTTCAAATTAAAAAAATCAACATCCAAATGATTACAAATGTTCTTAATTAATCCAGAAATCTTAAATTCTGCCTTAGCTAAATCTCCAAGAATATGTGAAAGATATCAAGTATCTGAAAAAGTAATGCCATGTAATGCAATGTAATGCATGAAATTACACAACTTTTTTCTCAAGTAATGCATTAAATTACAATTACATGTAATGCAAAAATTGCTGCATTACACATTACATGCAATTACTTGGAAAAATATAATGCATTACTATGCATTACAATTACAAATTTGCATTACCCCATGCCTGATAAACACGCATAGTTTTGTTATTGTACTTTCTGTATCGCTCTTGAATCACAATTATTATAGCACAATATAGCAGTAAGTAAAATGTAATTATTTCCTCAATGACGATGTTAGTATCAATTTCACAGTAAATATACCATGTCTACAATTAAAAATAAAGATTTCAATTTCACATCAATATTTCCTTTGGAAAATATTACAGACAAAAATTAAAAATAAAGTTTTAACTTATTTTTAATATTGTTCATATGGTGTAAAATGCAAAAAAACCTAATATAAAAAAATCTAAAGTACTATCATCTGATCATATAGGCATTCCGTCACCAAAATGCAACAGACTACCTAATGTCTAACTTGCGATGATTACATGTTGTTTCAATTTGAGGATCAGAAATTGGTTACCCTTCATGACTGCATAAGTTCACTCATGAGCTTCTGAGGGATTGATGTTTCTCATTGTTGAGTTTTCTGTGCGTGTTTTTTTGTCTGTTTGTGTTTTGCCTTTTTGTTATGATGTCCATCAATCAATGGTTTCTGATAAAAACCCTTGATATCTTCGTCCTTTTTAATTTTCATGTTGTCATCATATATCTTGATACATTCTTTATTTCTAACAGTTATATTCATTTCCTTGAACTGCTGACTAACCTTTCCTTTTTTATTTTTCAAAATACTTGAAATCAATGTCAAAAATCACTTCTCATTCATTTCCTTTTTTTCAAAATAGGTCATAAATGACTTATCCTAAATCTGATTTGTTGTGTTTACACATAATGCATGATCCATTGTGTCTATGATAATTTGAAACAACTGAACGTTGCCATCTATCAAACCAGACGACTGATTAGATGATTGAATAATCTTTGTTTATTGTGTTTCATACTGTTGAGGAAATTTTTTACAAATATAAGTCATTTACTTATGTTCTGATATTTTTTGAAATACAACGTACCTAGAGTTAAATACATGTGAATTTGTCGACAATATCAGAATCATGAGAATAAGAACTCGTGAAAAAATGTACATATACAGTACAGACAATGTATGTATTCAATGCAATTAATGATCTTATGAAAGACAAACAATGCTTACAACTGACAGATTATTTATTCTCCTTTGCCAACTGAGATGACGAAAATAAACATCATGAATGATATTATTTTACTGACCTAGACTAATACGGTGTAGACTTGCTATTTTTTCCTTATACAGTTCTTCTCCAAAATGCACTAAAGCCTATAATGATAATGATACTCTGTTATATTATAAAAATTTCTTCTTGTGCATAAGTAAAAACCAATTCATCGTTTTCATTTTGCATTATAATCAATATACAAAAATTTTTCAAATGCAACAGCTAAATCAAAAGAAAATCGACAATCAAGTAAAAAAAATTATTAAAATTCTATGTCAAAAATAAATATATGACAACTTCACATAAATCGTCGATTCTATTTAGTCGAATGTGTTGTGCATGTTATTAAAACTAAATTAACAGAAAACATGCAGAATGTTAAAACAAGGTTATTTAATGATAAATAATTGCATTTAAAATAGAAATATACAAATAATTTCATACAGTTATATAATTTTTCAGCGTCCTTGTTTTTCTAAATGAATACCTTTGTAATGAGTTTCAGGATTACTTGGAACTTTTTTTCATCTAAAACTCCGCTACTGCTTTGGAAAATTTCTTGTCTGATTGCATCGATGACTTTTAAATGATCGACATACTCTTTTTGTCCTTCCTCTTCGGTTTTTCTTCTTAAAATGTAAATCATCAGATTTAAATCAAAGTTCCTCGATTCTTCCTCTAAAAATAAAAAAATTGTATTTACAACATGAGTCAATTCAAACTTACATAATAACAAAAGTAAATCTTTTAATCACAACTTTAATTTTTAATCTTAAAAAGCTTTTGGTATTGAATAAAGGTGGTACATCAAAAGTCTGAAATTTTACTTGAATATCTGATTTAATTCTGTACTAAGCACACTACATTGTGATATATATACTAAGAGTGACAATTTTGTAATACATTTTCACGAAGACTATGAAAGCACAAAAAGCAAAACAAGTAGAAATTTTATAATTGGGGAATGTTTTTGTTGACATGGTTTTACTGGAAAAGCCAATATTGTATTGCCTTTACATTGTGGGCATGGTAGATTTATCTGGGAGGACTAATTTTGCTAATCGTAAAACTAAATTGAGCAAAATTCAAATGTACAGAAAAGTTTTCTGCACACTTTTATACACATAAACAACCAGTCCCGCTTAATAGAGCTTTTTTACAATTTGACGAAAGGTACGTACGCTTGACGAATCATACGTAAGACTCGTTTTAGGGATCCTTTATTTTGACATATTTAAATAATCGTCATGGAACTTCGTTGGCGTTTCATCATAATGTTAGCCTATTAAGGATCATTACCCTACATGCAACGAAACTTGTTAAATTAAGACTTTTTCGTGAGATGGCGGATTTTGGGACGTACAATAGGTAAAAATATATAACCACCAGGTGGAAGGAGGTAACTTTACAAAATTTCCTAAATACTGGCTCATCAGACGAAAAAAATACCCCTAAAACAAAAACAAAAATGCTCCAACCCCTTTGCATAATTTAACGTAAGAAATTACCAAAGCAAATGAATTGTCTTCTTCCCTCTCATAAAAAAAACCAAATACTTCCTAAATTCAAATATTTGCAACGTCCAAAATAATAAAATGAAGAAAAAAGATGACCTCCATATTATGTCATATGCCGGTGCTCGTTTAATAAATTGCAGTGAATCGGCGCTTCTCCTTGGTAATACTCATTGTTGCCTTGTGATGTGGCCATACACTGGAGTTAGGCTCTCCTATGTAACCGTTCTTTCAGCGTGTTATTGTGTTTGGTCCTGAACATTCATGAAATATTAGCCACTAGAAGTTGAGTGACCATTAGGCATCTATCTTCCAAACATGTTTACTGTTTAATCGTCATTATGAAATCCACAATATATAAAATGCTAAATTGGAGATTTATTTTCCTGGTATACATTTAGGTGTTCAAATGTGTATGTAAATGACAAAACGACCTTCATGTACTAGTATATAATTAGTTGATCTATAATTATAGCTCAAAGGCAGATTAGGAGTGAGGCGAACCAGAGTACCTCTACTCAACAGACACATTCCTAGCCTCCAATTCTAGATCTTTGCCTTGTTCTGTTATATATAAGTATGCCACACACAGAGAGAAAGACGGTTTAATTTTCCAAAACATCCAAGCTTTTCGTTTTTACTTTGAGTGTAAGGGAACGAGCATTTGAATCATTCTGAATCCAGATTTCCCCCATACCTTATAGTGTTAAAATTTTGTAGAAAAAAAATTGATTGATAGCGTCGAAAAAGACAAAAAAATTTGACTCAGACAAAAAACCATAAACCCAGCTAACACAAAATATTTTCATGATATTATTGACTGGTTGCATATATGTTTATCAGAAATATTTTCACAAAAATATTTTAAAGACATTTTGTTTACATCAGAAATTAGGTGTGAATGATATTTTACTAATAACATTTCATCCCAATGTTTGATTGCAAATATAAAAACATTTTTTGTAAATATTTTTTTATAATAAATAAATAAATATTTTTTGCTGATGTTTTTTAAACGTTTAAAAGACAGTTTTATAAATGAGAACAGTTTCATGTCGAAGAAATATTTCTTTACAATATTAAAACAATATCTGATGGACATTTTTATATTATAATTATAATATATATTTGTAAGATGTGTAAAAGAAATGTTTATAAAACATTTTTGATTAATATCTGCGTTAAGCATAGGTTTGATGTATAATAAAATATCTTTTTGATGTAACATCTAAATAAATTTCTTGTCCTAATTAAAAATATAAGCTGGTAATATCTAATGAATATTTAAATAACTGTCTTAACAAAATATTTTTTCGATTTTATTTAGAAAATATTAGTTGGAGACCCTTTTATAAACATTTTAACATAATATGTCTTCTAGATATTTGTAAGATGTATGACAGAAATGTTTGTCAAATGTTTGTTAGTAATATTTGAGTGAAGCAAGTGTTTGATATGAAAAAGAAATATTTTTTAGATATCACATTAACATGAATGACTCCTCATTTTTATAGTTCCAAAGAGGTTATATGAGATAATCTCCTTGATAATTTCTGGGACTATTATACTAGTCCCAGATAATTTTAACCTTTGAGGAACATTTCAATCGTGTATTATTATAACTTTTTTCGTTCAACTTTAATTGATGAAACATAATAAACAAATATATACAGAGTGATATTTGATACAACCATTCTGTTAATCAAACACATTCTGATAGATTAACCAGATGTTGGACACATTTCAAAGATAGTTGCTATGGTAATTAAGATTATAGAAAATCTAAATGTAATGGGATGGTCATTTTTGAGGTTATTTCCTGTCGTCTATTTGTAACTTCCGAAAGCAGTGAAAACAAAGAAAACTAAAAGAGAAAATCACAGTTCAAAGAGAAAGAAACATGTAAGTTGTTATTTTAAAAAATCGTAATTGATATATGGACTCGACTGAATCTTGCTTTTTTGTGCTCGGCAAAACTTTGGCAAAACAAAATCTGTATTTGAATAGTTTGTAGGAGTAAATATCACAAAAAGTTGAAGACGCTACTTCTTTAAATTATATGTATGCAGTGTTATAATTAAACATTAAGATATCATGGAAAAGTGAAAAAGATATATTTTAAACAAAATGAAATGGCATGTATATCATGTATATGTGAAAAAAGGGGGTAAAATGTGAAAAAAATATCATACGGAAAAAGTCTTCTACAAATTTGCAGACAGATTCGTGTATGAATTACTTGAAGTAGAGTTTCTTTTTAATATACAATTTTACATTCTCATATAAATTTATAGATCTGGCATTTGAGAACTACAGAAGACAAATTAAAGCAGAGTGCAAAAGGAATTTTAATAGTCATTGAAAATATTCTGGCTTCAAAATGCATGGAAATGGAGATGGGACAAAATGCATTCTACCATTTGATAGCCAAGAATGAATAACTTTAAGTAAGTAACATAATAGCCATCCTTTATGCTACATCGGATTAGAAATTCGCAGATATATATGCATAAAATGTTTAATATTACTGTCAATGCTAAGTGTCACTTTGATTTAGATTTGACTTTGTATTTTTCACTTGAATTCTTTATTTAGTTAGAAGGTTTTTTGACATAGTTCTGTTTCCTGAATCTATATCATAATCTAAATAACGACATACCTGTAATCTAATTATTATAATACAATTTTTTTCATAATGTTTGACCTGATATCGGCTTAAAAGCTTAAATCTCAATTGAGTTTAAACATTTATGTATTATTTCTTCTTCAGAAGGCTAACAAGAAGAGGAGGCTCGCAGTAGAAGATACAGACTCTGAATAATTAATAAAATGTTTAAATGCTATTCAGGAAAATTCAATATTCATTGACAGTCGTCCTGTCATATGAATAAGCTATTCTATCAATGCTTTTGTGTGGGCAGTATGCAATGTCATGCTTTGACTGCTCTTAATTGTTTGAAAGAGTTTGAAAAATATCAACCAAAAATTCAAATTTCCACAAGTCGGAGAAAAACAATCGCATTGCAAAACAAAATAAAAAAATAAACAGTCTACATTACACTACATATAATGATAGAACAAGAAACAGGTGCCCTGGAGGAGAGCTGATAAATGTAAGTCTAAATATGCATGATATATCTGCAAGCTGAGAGTTGGCCTCAACATAAAACGTTTTTTGAATATTTATATAATGTTTTTTACAAACATTTAACCAAGATGTTTTAAGAATATTGGGAAGACATCCATAAAACATTGTTGAAATATTTAATTTACATTTTCAAGAGATATTTCTACCTAAACTTGCCTCTGATATTTTAAAAACATTTGGTAGACATCCATAAAACATATTTTAGACATGAAAAGGATATTTTTGGATAACGTTTGATATGTATGTTTTCTGGATATTTTCAATTGACACTGAATGATATCAAAATTATGTTATTTAAATATAAAATCAAAATATTTAAAAAAAATGTTCTTTAAACATTCAGAACAAATATCAGCTGAAAATATGCTATTCACATTAGTACAGCCATACATTTCACGTCAAAACAATATTTCTGAATGATATTTTTGTGACATTTTGCAATATATTTTAAAAATATCAATAAAATGTGTTTGTGCTACCTGGGAACCCACTCCCCCTTTCGAAGTTGAATGGTTTCTACATAACTTTTTGTTTTTCTTCTTTTTTTTTAAACATAATGCTTGTTAATCAGTGTGAACTTTGTAACGTTCATATTAAACTGAATTAGCATTTATATATAGTATTAGTTTCACATTTGTTGCCTGCAATCACAAGAGTCACATTACTTTTTTTCACATTTAACACTAACATTAATAGAAAAACACTTTTCTTTTCTTGATTTATTTCATATTACTTTTTCAAAACATTGTAGCATCCTGGTCTTGCAAATCTCGATGATCCACGTTGACAATTTTCTGAGAAATTTAAAGTAACTTACTTCAATAATTTCATTAAATATTAACCGTGATACTCATGCTTGAACAATTCCCGCGCAAATATGTGTAATCGTGGTTAACATAAGTAACGTATCGGACGTAAGTGTATTTGACACTATTTTTTCTTTATTTTCAGATATTAAAATTGTGTATTATTTGCGATAAGCTTATTTTTGAAAGATGAATTTTATTTATAAAAGAATTCTGTTTTACCAGAGATACAAAGACTCTTAATTGTTATTGTGGAAATGTAATACGTGCTCCCTTTACGTTCGTTCGTACCTTGCGTCAAAATGTAAGAAAGCTCTACTGAAAGACATAGACATGATAGAGTTGCGCACAACTTTGGATTGTTATGTTATATAAATAGAAGAAATAAGAAATTAATGTATCAATAGAAATAACAAAACCTTGCATTCTTCACAAAATAGTGTGAATGTGAAAAGTTTTACCAACTGTAATAAAAAACTCACCTCTTGGGGAAAAAAGTTGTACTTGTTGTTTTCGTGTAAGGTATATGTTTGACTTTTGGCTGATATTTTTATCATTGCCAAAATCCTTACTGCGACGTGTTGCTTGATGTTTGTAAATATCTGTACGGATTTTTTCAAACTCTTTTTCAGGACATAGTTTCTGATATTCATCTTTTATTACAGGACAAACGATTGCTGTAAGTGCATGAACTATAACTAAAAATTTGTTTTCTTCGTCAGTGAGATCCCTAAATTGTCTGCTAAAAAAAAATTACATTACTTTAATTGGCATAGAATAAACTAGAATAACATGGTTGTCAATAAATACCTCAAATATATTTACTAATGAATATTTCTTTTACATCAATGATTCCATATTATGCTTTGTATTATACATGCTTAAACTCTTGAAATAACCACTATTTTCTGAATTTTGCAAATTTATGTTTTTTCAAAAACAAGGTAGTTACAAGGCAACATGGTAATAGTTTCTGTAATCTTGGGATAAACTCCTTCTAAAAATGGAGAGGCACGAGAGGTTTTTTTCGTTATGTCTTTTTTCAATGTCACAGGTGTCAAATGAGTAATGGATTCTGAAAAGGTGCAGTACTTGTTTAAGGCAGTTTAGAATATTGCATTGAATAAATATTGTAGGCACTCATACTCATCTATTTGCTACAAACAAAAACAAAGTACTGTAAGAACAAATACAGAACCTTAACAAACATACCAATAACCCATTGATTTGTTAATTGCTGCTTGCATCACGTCGTATATAAGACAACATGCTGTCAAAATGACAGTATATCTGTTTTTTCTTTCTTTTATCAAAGTAATCAAAGACGATAGCTTTTGAATGTTAGCGGTATTGATAGGTTCTATCAAATCGCCCCTCAACAACCACATAATATAATTTAATGGTATTTGATGATGTGTTCACGCACTAAATTTACAGATCGTGACTTTTTCAATCAGTCAAAGAGAATAACTCTTGATATGCAAATGTAGGTGTCCAAAATAAAAATTGATCACCATTTTTTCGGCACTCTTATTAGTGAACAAAACAATACATAGTGCTATCTTCTTTAAAAGACAGTTGCTCCATAATTCTAGTAATTATCTATATAATCAATATCGATTTTGTCATCATGAACATCATATCAAAATTCGAAAAGAAATATTTGGAGAAGGTTCCTCAATTGATTGCAGGTAAACAGCGTGAGATAGATGCTTGAAAAGAAAAACACTGTTTCACCACAAATAAATAAACAGATTTTCCGCAAAAACATATGTAGTAAACGGTTGAAAAAAAATTGAATTACACTAATATAGAAGTCTTTTTCATTTAGATCTTATATCGTTTTCATCGACACTGCATATAATGTTTTTTTCTTCTTCATTTAAATGGACATAAAGGACTGTATTACAAAAGCATTTTTGTTACTTACAAATTGCAACAAAAGTGTGTTATATAGTGAGTATTTATTTATTTGTAGTTTTAAATTATGCCATATGTAACAATTATCATGAATATATATTGTTATGAAAAAAATTGTACTAACGTTCTATTAGGTAGAGAAAAATCTGTTGGAATCTGTAGACTCTTCACATTAAGATCATCTATAAACATAAGCTATGGTTTAAAAAACAAATCCCAAAGTAAATTTCCCGTCCCCATAAAACAAACTACCTAATGAAAATTCCCTCGTTGGTTTAAAATTATGCACAGATAAGAACTAAAAAACAAATTTTACGAATCAAATAACTTGTTATATGAACATGGTGAAAATAAATACCAAGAATAAAAAAATAAGAAGATCCAAATTCGGAAACTATTCAATTACAAGAATGTCCCTTTTTTAGTAAAAGCTGTTCACACTTATTTTGATTGTAATTTGATTTGTATCTTAATAATAATGAGAATTAAACATCCATAAACTAATATTGCTTCTAATTGATTGATGCTCACATAATTTTATTAAATATTCTTTGTAAATATGTTGTCTGATGTGTACTTGGTAATTGGTTTTGGAAAAAAGATTAGCATCGAAATCAGTGTCATTCATTTTTATATTTTAACATAAATTATTGCCAACAAATTAGTTTGTTGGATTTTTTTGTCAATATCAGTGTTGAAGGTGTATTGTCCTGTTTTAATTTCATGATTAACAGTTGACAGTAGAATGGTGATAACCCACAATGCTAAAAAGTTCAACAATGTTTTAATATCATGTTTTTTAGGGGGAACTTAGAAAGACAATCATACTTGCTGAGCCTATTTACTGGTGTCAAGCGAAAAATTAATGTTTGAAAGTACAAAAAAATAGCATAAGAAACAAATGACCAATGAAACCATGCATATGGTCATCGACACTGAAAGAGAAATTGCAACCGTGATGTAGACAACTGACAATCGTCAAAGTTACAATGAAAACAACAGTCTTTTTTACTTCATAAATTTGAACTTCATTTCTCAATTAAACATTATTAATAAACATAGTATACCTTTATCGAATACAAACATTGGGAACAGTGTTTCTGAGGTTGCCTACAAAATCAGATTAACATCAGCTTTGTATAACAGCATTAATATTCAATATAGACTATTAGTATAGAAAATGTTCCAAAAACTACATTATAATATGCAATTGTATTTAACTGACAATAAAATAATACTATTTATAATCAGTTTGATAAGAATTAAAACATACCTTGTGATTTTGCAATTGCTTTGAAATCCATCTCGGTACATCAACTTTTACATTATTCTCATACAGTTGATGAAGGTTGCAGGATGATATTCGTTGTAACATATCATTGCGAAAGGTTTCATCTTCTATCACATACAATAGTTCTGTTATTGCCCCACTTAATGCTTGTTCATCAACAGTCCAGTTTAAAAAGTATAAAAACGTATCTTGTCCAATCAGATTAAGAACACTAATAGGGCCTGTGACATGACAAATTTTGGACAATAATATTTCGTCAACGTTTGACAATTTAATATTGTTTATCACAGAGTACTTACAGCAATAATCCTTAGGGGAAATCTTACAAGATACACTATCTTCCTTTCTAAATAGTTTATTCCATTCTTTTTTATTGAATAATATTTTTTCAGTAGGATCCTTGACACAATTACAACACCTTTTTTTCTCCATGGAATGGTATATTGCATGCTTGTTATTCATAAGAAACGTATCGAAATTCACGTATAATCGATTTATTACAAATGCCAACATATCAGGAATGTTAAGCACCAATGGTACAGTCACTGATAAATCACACTTATCAATCATTTTAGGAATAAATCTTTCACAGCATTTTTCTAGATTAGATGGACAGATATGTGAATCAATATCCTCTTTCCACTCATACATGATGTCCCACAGCCTTTCTGGAATTACTTTGGTGTACGTACAGAAAAGCACATCATTGGCGTTACATACACAACATGATTCTGTTACGAATCGTTTATGATACAGATAATGTTTTTCCGATCTTAGAATGCCTTCTATTGTTTGTTCCGTTAATGTGCAATATTCAGATATTATTTTTTGAAGTATCGTAGCAGGATATGTTCCAGACATATCAATGTATCTACATATCTTATGTTTGTCTAAATCAATTGAGCTCAACATATGTAGTCTACCTTGAATAAATAATAATAAAAACAATATATAACATCATATGTATAGCAAGAATCATAAAAAAAATACGAAACTGTACAACAAACCACATCAACCATTCACACCCGACTCCTCCAAATTAAGACTGACCCTCAAAGAGAGAGAAAATCATATATATATATATATATACTCTTTCAGTCTAAATTATTATGATTGATAGCTCTGCTTTGTTTGTTTATACGATTATGAATAATTAACTCGTCACCAGTTTGATATAATTAATTTCAGCCAAAAAAAAATGTATAAGCAAATTATTTAAATCCATTCGAATTAGAAATGAAATCTTTTCTCTAATTCTTACCCAATTTGAACTTTTCCTGATCGATTACTTTTTTAATATTTTTTTTTAACAACGTATGGCTTGAATGCAGTTTTTCATTGGTCAAATTTCAAATGAACGTCAAATTTTCTTGCTTTCCTCTAAATTTCTCTATATATGGTGTAACGAAAAAAGCGACCATCAGAGCTCCAGATAAGAATTCACAAATTGGGGTTTTTACCCACCATTTTTTTATGTAATTGGGTGATAAAGTTTTTTAATTGCATTATCAATTCCAATTCACCCCTCAAGCAAATATCAAATTGGGTTTTTCACCACCAAGCTCCTTAATGTATTGGGTTTTTTCATCAACACAATATTCAATATTTAGGCATGTTATAACCACATTATATCAACCCCAGATGTGTTTCCATCTTAAATGTGTTTCTTTGTAGAATATGTGCTAGCTGTTTTATTTGGTTTATTCACTGACGAGCAATTGTATATTTAATTTGTGTCCCGTTTTAGACGTTCTGTCAGTTTTGTATTTTCTTAAAACTTATGTAAACTGCAGCTGGTGTCACTAGTTGGACAGGAACTAATTGCCTTTCTAGATCCCATATGATCACCCTATAGTTTAATTATAGTTGTGGTAAGTGTGGCTAAGTAGATCTAAGAAGATGTGGCATGAGTGCCAATGAGACAACTCTCCATCCAAGTCAAAATTTATAAAAGTAAACCATTATAGGTCACAGTACGGTCTTCAACACGGAGCCTTGGCTCACACCGAACAGTAAGCTATAAAGGGCCCCAAAAATTACTAGTGTAAAACCATTCAAACGGGAAAACCAACGGTCTAATCTATTTAAAGTAGTTTCCAGATTTAAGATATACCCCAAAACCTTGAGGTTTATAGGGTGGTTTATAATGACGGAGACCACATTCAACTTAAATTTACAAATAATTCTGCAACATCAAGTAAATAAATGACTAAATGACAATGTTATACTGCACTTGCCAATAAGACAACTATCTTAAGCATCTAGAACAATTAGACCAAAACAAAGAAAGTGTCAAGCTGCATTGACGTAGTAAAAAACGGATATGTGAATTCACTCATCAACTAAAATGAAAAAAAAAATAATATATAAACTGTTTTCGTTTAGTTCAATTTACATAAATCTGGGTTAAGTTGTCCCTTATCAGAACTTTTGGTTTCCGATGCTTTCAAACTACATATGTCATAATTGATTTGGCCTTTCACTTTTTCCAACTGATTTCGTTTTTGACAGAACCCCGTGTTTATCGCTCTAGCAATATGTTCTCGTTATGGTATCCTACCGTAGTCTATAATCGGTCATAATGTTGGTTCGTTCGGATTTTGTTATTGTACTTATCACACAGGAAAACTCCGCATTGACGTCACTACGCTAATACCAGCGTACAAAATTAGTGCAGAATACATTTTTTCTACTCTTCTAAATAAAAAAACATTTCTAAAGTTATGTTTTCATTGTTTTTCTAAAGTATTGTACAAAATGCCAATTTTCTAATGGCCGTTTCAAACCTGACTTCCGAATGCCTAAAAACATTCCAGAACTTTAGAAAATCCCTTTTCCGGCCCCTATTGCTTTGTTTACATTCCATTAAGCGTCATCAATCTTAATTGCAGACCGAACAGGCCAAGCAAATCGTATTTTTAAGAATTTCAAAATGGCAAGCACCTTACGTCTTACGCGATTTTCCCGCGAAAAAAACCATCCAAATTGAAAGAAAAACTTTGGGAAACAAACGATAATCATGCCATATTTTTGTTCAGGAATATAGAGTAGGTTAATAAAAAAAAATATTCATATGTTTTTCATAAAAAAAAATTTTGGTTCAATATAAAGAGATCGATATTTTGACCATAAGTAAATATTCATATAAAATTCCATTGATGTCGAATTTCATGGCTGATAATGAGGTTTCCTATTGAATAAACCCCCAATTTATTGCAAACTATTTCAAAGCAATATCATAAAAACAAATAATGTAATTGCCTTAGACTAAAAAATCCCCTAATTGACAATAGCGCAATTTGATTGGAAATCACGATTCAATGTGTCACGTGGTTTTGAAGCCATTAGAATTTGAATGTAAACAAACCGGGTCAGCTACTCCAGTATTAGCTGCGGAACCGTAGCTCTTAGGTCCTCATGTTTTTTTTTTGACTATTTGGGTCCGCAAATAGTCAAAAAATAGCATAAGGACCTGAGAGCTACGGTTCCGCAGCTACTCCAGTATGGAACAACATCGTACATTCAGTGACTGAGAAACAATTATGAGTAACCAAGCTTGACAATACACAGTAATAAAAAAACAAAGCTAAGTCCACAGAAAAATAAAATAAAAAATGTCCTTAAGTGCACGACTTACCACCATTGCGGGATACACAAACACGCCCGTGCGTTCAATGGCCGCTTCCTAAAATCACTAGCTGAGTCTTGTTATAATCATAACTTTCCCTCAGCTATCAAAAAGAAGCCGAAAACATGCTTCTATTCAATATTTTTACCGGACATTTACTTTCGTTTTAATTCATTGTATGTTATGATAAATCCCGAGCAATTCGAAAAAATATGACAGCATGTCACACGCTAATTGGATAAACGCCTAGAAGATCGAAATGTTTTCATAAACACGTGTACCTTTTGAGCAACGGAAAATTCCAACAGGGACCCATTACAGCTACTTGATGCAGGGCTCTATTTTTAGAACGAAAGGACATTTCCAATTATAAATATTATAAAAATAGATTTACGCGACGACTGTAATCAAGTAAGGGTAAATAACGCAAACGATAGCGAATAAAAACGTTAAGAACCCATGTTTTTGGCATATAATTGGGTTTTCCTTTGAATTAATTGGGTTATTGAACCCTGCAATGGGCAATTGCATTGGGTTTTTAATTATTTTTATTGCGTGATCACGCAAATACGCAGCTTATCTGGAGCTCTGGACCATGCAAGATGTCATATATAAAAGACATATTCTAACAAGTGCATAAATATTGTCTGAATATCTGTGTCTTTAAGTTATTGTTTTTTTGAAAACGTTTTAAAAAATAAATAGCAAATTTTTTTACAATTAAATGTATTTTCCAGAGTTGATAGTCATTCCAAATAATGCCTGATCTGTGTTTTTTGTATATGAAAAAGTGCAGATGAAATAAGTCAGTATTCAAAATCACTAAGACACATTAAATATTTCTTTAGTATATCACCTTTATAAGTAATTTTTTTGAACTCACGTCCAACTTGTTGGAAGTTGATTTGAGGTGCCACAATCTTGATATTTTTTTTTTAGAAATGCAATTTAAAGTTACCTGGGACAGGACAAAACCTTACATTAATCTGTACAGATCATGATATCATATCAAAATGTATAAATCTAATAGTTGATAGCTTCAACTTATTCTGAACTCAATTTTAACAATATTCATTCATATAAATCATCACATAACAAAATAATACATTTGAGAGACATTTCTCGGATTCAGAAATAATTGGAGTTGCTTTTACAAAAAAGTCTCCTAGTACACAAATAATGCATTTACTGATCAAAACATAAATAGAAATATTGGCAGGCTCAAAATATGAAAGGTGAAAAATGTAATAGAAAAAAGAAACAAAAATTCAATGCTTCAGGTTCTTTTTGTACGATAAAGCAGTAACATTGAGGGTTAAAAAAAGTAGTCCAACTACTGTATCACTAGCCAGTCAACACTGAGGTTGTGAGTTCGAATCCTGCAACGGACAGGTGCACTCGACTTCAATCTTAATTCAGACTAGGATTGTTAGTTTTCCTACCTAAGGTTGGTGGTTCAATCTGATCACTCTGGCTTCCTCCACCAATAAAAATTACAGCCACGAAATAGTACAATAGTGTTGAAAGTGGCATTAAACAAGAATCAATCAATCCATTGTGATTAAAAGTAATTGACTACCCTAATGAACCTGTAATTTTTCATATCGAAATTTCAAAGGAAGATTCCGTCTAATACGTCTTGTTTATATAATTACCAAGAAATCTTTTCTTGGAATGAGTGCTTGTTGTAGCATAAGTACATGTACAGTGGTTTTATCATGTTTATACACTACTGGACGAAAATACAACTGTCCATACCAGTAACAGTCGTTGTACAACTGTCTTAGTTTGTGGAAGACTGAAGATGACTGTCAAAGAAACTGATACAGTTGATTAATGTCTGTCCCAACACTTTTATGGGTTGTGAAAATCAAAAAATGTTATCAACAGTCATTTAAGGACTGTTGCAGTGGTTTACGGGGTTGTCACAGTCAAATACTATTTATTACAGTCTTTCCAAAAGTTGTGGCAGTTGTATAATGTTTGTCCCAACCTTTTAATAGTTGGGACAGTTGAAATGTGTTTGGGTCAACTTTTCAGACGTTGATGCAGTCAAAAAATGTTTGTTACAACTTTTTTAGAGTTGGGACAGTTGTAAAATGTTTGTTACAACTTTTTAAAGGTTGTTACAGTCATAAAATGTTTATTACAAATTTTAAAACGTTGCTACAGTCGTTAAATGTTTAAAACAAACATTTCATAGGTTGTTGCAGTCGACAAATATTTTAGCGTCACGGTAGCAACTCAGTGTAAAAAAAAAAAAAAGTTTCACCCGGCTCTCAAGATTTGATATAG